ATGTGGATAAGAGTAAAGAAAAAGGTTGGACATAATTATTGAAGGCCACAGAAAAAGCCAAATCAATTAAAATACAAAGAATATTGATAAAATGTTCCTTCCATTCACTAGAAAGGTTGTGACCAATTTGAGTGCATTTCACACAATAATTTCCAAACACAGGAAGCCACCACTGGCAGAATGATAGAAAGAATGTAGACAGTGATGCTGGGAAACTTCAGCATCCATCCGACATTCAGTGTTGGATAATGACATCAGTATTAGTGGGGAAAATGGAGCATCTACAGCGCAGGAAAAGGTTACACCTTCCACACAGCAGCAGAGGTCTCACAATCTTCTCAAACTTCAGGGAGCATGCTCTACTGTGGTCAAATCTTAGAAACAGACTAAGTCACCAGGAGAAGGTGCTGGTACATTCCTTTATCCCAGCACTCAGGGAGCAGAGGCAGATGGATCTGTGAGTTTGAGGTCAGCCTGATCTATAGAGTGAGTTCTAGGACAGCCAGAGCTACATATCAAAACCCTGTCTCAAGAAAAATAAAAGAAAGAAAGAAAAGAAACTCTCTTTTCTGACAGAGTTGGAAAGCAGATATTAACAGCAGACTGAAAACAGAAGGAATACATGATGTGAAAACTGACAGCTGGCATGTTCTTATTCAAAAAAACGAAAAGGCCTACTTTAGAGAAGGTTGCCTTCTCTAAAGTTTCCAAGAAATTCCTATCAAAATCTTCCTGGCATTTTTGTAGAAATAGAGAAAGTAATCCTAAAGCAATATTATATTGTGGGAAATCACAAACATTTCAAAAATTCTTCAAAGAAAGATCAAACCCAGAGGCGATTTGAAACTCTGTTAAAATTATAGCAACAAAACCACTGAGTGTTGCCCTCGAGACAGACAGGAGATTATTTTAGAGAACAATGCACATGGAGCTTAATAGTCTAGAGAGATACTAAACAATTCTTATCAAAATCTTACTGGCATTGTTTTAGAATGTGGAGAAATTAGCCCCAATATTAGATATAGAATTTGAAGGAACTACAAAAAACTGCAAAATTTTTGAGAGCAGAGAAAAACCAAGAGGCATCAATTTTCCTAATTTTATAAACTAAAACTGTAGTAATGAAAACCATTTAATATTGATAAAGAAACTATCAGTGACGTGCATTCAAGAGGAATACCATCAATCACATGCATAGTCAAATAAAATTACATTTGCTTTTTACTATTAATTCTTTTGATTTTCTTTTTTTTTTTTTTTTTTTTTTTTTCTTCTCAAGACAGGGTTTCTCTGTGTAGCTTTGGAGCTTATCCTGGAACTCACTCTGTAGACCATGCTGGCCTCGAATTCATAGAGATCCCACCTGCCTCTGCCTCCCGCATGCTGGGATTAAAGGCATGCACCACCACCGCCCGACTTTACTATTAATTCTTACATAAAAAGTCTTCTAACATCTATAACAGGATACTCCTGAGGAGATTATTCTCAGTAGAGTTCTCCAGAATCATTTATAATGAGACAGAATGTGGCAAAACTGGTTTCACGCCAGTTTCTGCCATCACTTGAACCACTCACCAATCCTTGCCTCAATAAAACCAACACACCTGGATCCTTTGCTACTGTCTCCTCTCTCTTCACCATCCAGGGATCTATGTTCTGCTGCACAGGTGAGCAGGTCTGGGTGATCAGTGAGTCCTAGACACGAGAAAGAGATTGTTCAGAAAGCACCTGGATTTCTAACACAGGACTGTGCACAGAGGATAAACAGAAAATGAAACAGAAGACTCTACAAATGGTTCCCCAACTGTCATGTCGTGTCAGAACACTGAAAATATTTAGAAACCATTTTCAATCTGCATAACTTGAGTCCCACTTCCAATCACAGCTCAGCTAAAACTAAAGGGTAGGGCTGGAAAGATGGCTCAATGGTTCAGAGTACGTGTTGTGTGGATCCTAAATGGTCTTGTAATAAAAACCTGGAGGCAGACACTAGGAAATGCTGAAAGATCAGAGAGACAAAGGAACAAGTCACAGCCTTTTCTCACCTGACAACTCCATGAAATCTCTACTGAATGTCTGAGTCCTCAGACAAAAAGACCTAATTCATGTATCCTTCCGCCTTATATTCCTTCCTCTGCCCAGAGATATCACTTCCTGTCTCAACTTCCCTGGGATTAGTACTGGGATTAGAGATGTGTGATCCCAAGTGCTAGAATTAAAGGTGTGTGCGACCACTGCCTAGCCGTTTCTCTTTTAAAATGGATATCGTGTAGTGCAGGGTAGCTTTGAACTCACAGAGATCCAGACAGATCTCTGCCTCCCGAGTGCTAGGATTAAAGGTGTGTACCACCTCTGTGGCTGGCTCTGTCCTCTGATCTGTTCTGTCTGCATGTATGCCAGCCTGCCAGAAGAGGGTACCAGATCTCAATATAGATGGTGGTAAACCACCATGTGGATACTGGGAATTGAACTCAGGACCTTTGGAAGAGCAGCCAGTGCTCTTAACCTCTGAGCCATCTCTCCAGTCCCATGGGCTGGGCAGTGGTGGTGCATGCCTTTAATCCCAGTCCTGGGAGGCAGAGCCAGGCAGATCTCTGTGAGTTCAAGGCCAGCCTGGGCTACAGTGTACCAGGAAAGGTGCAAAGCTACACAGAGAAAAACCATCTCGAAAAACAACAACATAAAAACCAAAAACAAATATATTACAAGTACTGGTTGCTGCTCTTTTAGAAAGAACCAAGAATCGAGTCCCGACATCCATACAGTGGCTCACAATCATCTGCAATTCCAACTCCAAGGGATCTGACCCCTTTTCCTGGCCTCTGTAGGCACCAGGTATGAAAGTGGTACAGACATACAGGAAGGCAAACACATATGAGCAAATTAAAGACAAAACAAAACCAAACCTCAAGAGTGGAAATGAAACTTCATGATTGAGGTGGCAATATTATATACCATTGAGTCTCTCAGAACACAAATGAAAGAAACCTAACACTTCCCCAAATGAAAAACATGAAGAATAGAGAGAACTTCACGAAAATGTTCTTTTCTGCTTTGAAAATTTTTCACTGTAATATGAGATGTGAGGTTCATCAACACAAAGCTCACACACATGCAGCACAGTTTGAGAAGGAACCTAAGGATGAGAAAGAATAATACAAGAAAACTATTCTCATCCACAGTAGCCAAACTGCTGTAATTCTGTTGTGGAAATCTCTCTGGAATAAGCAATCTTAAACCACTGGAGGTGAGAAAGGAGAGATGCCACCGGTGGACTGAAGCTGGGATAGCTCTGTCTCCAGGTCAGTGTGTATTTGCATTTTATGATCTACAGCTACAAGGTGGGGCCAGGAGAAAAGTAAGCAGGACTTCCCAAAGGCAGCTTGGGGGCTTTTCAAATGCATGTTAAAGCATGTTAAATGAAAGTGGTAAGGTTGCTAATTGTTTCAGCAATTTCTCCAGGTCATTCTGTTCCAAGCAGCAAGATGAAGTCCAGGCAGCAAGATTACCTGAAAAAGCAGAGCTTTAAGTAAATTAAACAAATCAGTAATTCAGGATCTAATAAATGGTCTTTTCCACCTTATTCTACTTCAATTCTCCAACTCCAGTCTCTGTACAAAACCCTCTGAGCATTCCCCTTCCTCCTGGGAAAGGTCTACAACAATATCACTGAATGTCAACAAACCCTGAAATAAAAAGCCATGGTTTGAGTAGGGTGGAGGTGATAAACTCCTTTAATCCCAGCACTCAGGAGGAAGAGGCAGGTGGATCTTTGAGTCTGAGGCCAGCCTGGTCTGAAGTTCTAGGACACCCAGGACTGAGAAATCACATAAGAGTACAAAATTTTGAGCACTGTATTTACACCATAGAACATCTCAGATGGAAAATTAGTGGTAAAATTCTACATAGTATATGTCTATGCTTACGACCATAACTGTGGAGTTTGCTAAAATATATTTATGATTCAAACAAACCTACAGTCGATCCTTATGTGATTAATATCTAACAAGCTTTTTAGGTTGACAATTCACAAGCTCTAAATGCCACTCTCCTGAGTAGGGAAGTGGTGGAACACGTTAGTTGAAAAGTATGGATAATTTAAGATTTAAGAGCTTTGTTGTTTCGGAAGTAACAAACAGAACACTGTTAAAAACATCAATATATAAATTCAATTTTGCAACAATATTTATAAGAGACTATTTTAAAAATCTTAAAAGAAAAAAAAACAGTCTAGTTCATACAGTCTAAATTTACCAACAGTAAATTTTTTTTTGTGAAAGCAGCTTCCTTATGAACAGCAGAGAAACTGCTCGCACCCCCGGTCCCTCCCCTCCCGTGTCCCAGCCTCGCAGCTCCTCTGACCTGGGAGGTTCCAGGGCCGCCGGGCTGCGGTTCCCGCCACTGCGCTGCTGACTGGTGACTTTCCCAGGCCGCCCCGCGCGGCGACTGCGGCTCCGGGGAGATTTCGTGTCCCCGCGACCCCCCTCCGTGTCCTCCACACCCAGGTTGTGCACTGTGCGTCTCCCGAAATTCCTTAGGGACTGGCGAGTTTGCAGCGCCTCCAGCCTTTGGGGCCCCGAGCCCAGCCCGGCCCCGCCCACTACGCAGTTTGCTGACAGTCACCCATCCCCGCCCACCTACTTCCTCTTTCCGTTCGGTTTCCCAAGCCGGTCCAGCGGCGCAGGTGTCCCCTGGGCAGCGCCCTTGAAGTCGGCGACATTCCCAGTTCCACCCTTGCTCTCTGCACTGGCAATGGCTTGTGGGAAATTCTGTGGCTTCGGGAAAGATTTGTGCTCCTCGGGCAGGTTAGCTGGCTCGGTTCAGCAAGCTTAACGTAGACAACCAAAATATAGGTGTCATTCTCGCCAGGAGTGGTGGCGCAGGCCTTTCATCCCAGCCCTTGGGAGGCAGAGGCGGGTGGATGCCTGAGTTCAAGGCCAGCCTGGTCTACAGAGGGAGTTCCAGTACAGCCAGGGCTACACAGAGAAATTCTGTTGGAAAAAAACCAAAAACTACTCTATATATGTATGTCTCTATGTGAACACATATGTGTTTATACTTGTATATATGCATTTTCCTCTCATATATGAGACACACACACATATGACAGGGAAATATATACAAAGTACAAGGAAACAACAGGGGTATAAAAAGCCGTTTAACTACACTTGGGCTCAGCTTTGGACTAAGGTCTTAAGTGGGCCGCAGTGAGTGTGTCATCCTTGAGCCGGGCCACTGTGGCCCTCAGAGGGCTAAAAAGTTCCTTCTAACTCTGGGATTCCCGGCCCCTCACTGCGAATTTAGGATGGGTTCAGGCTTACATGATCCTGCCATATGCCAAGAAGCACCTGAGGAATATCTGGGAGGAAAGTGGCCGAGTTTTGGTACAAAAGAATAAAGCCAATCCAACTTTCTGAAACCTTCCCTCCTGTGCATCAGTGGCAACAGATGGCTAACGGTAATTTTAATACCTGAAAATATATGATGAAAAAGCTTTAATGGAGGATATTCATGATATGGTAACTCCAGAGAGACTCCAGACATTCTGTGGAACAGCGGCCTTCATTCAGGGTGGTTAAAGCCTTGAGGGGAATTAAAAACTCTTAATATGCAACAACATAAAAGGACTTGGAAATTATATTGTTAACAACCAGAAATCAGACTAGTGATGTAGACATGGTTCCAGGAACTCAAAGTCCAAACTATGAAACAGAAAAACCTCAAAAAGTAAAACTCTCCTCCCCCCAAAAAAAGATTCTAGAAAAATGATAAGCTGGGCCTGGTGGTACAAGTCTTTAATCCCAGCACTCAGGTGGAGGAGGCAGGTGGATCTCTGTGAGTTCCAGGCTCCTTGGTCTACAGAGAGAGTTACAGGGCAGCCAAGGCTGCATAGTAAGACTCTGTCTCAAAACAAAAACAAAATTAAAGGGATATTTCCATTTAAGATGTAAATGTCCCATCTTAAAATGAAAAAAAAAATAGGTGATGAGATTAAAAGGCATTTAAATGTCCTTTTTCATCTAAAACATAAAATACAGGGTTAAGATGGCAGTTTTGGCTCTGTGTCTGCTTCCATATCTTATTTGTAGGAATGTTTCCCTCTCAAAGTCATTGACATCTCCAAGGCTCATGGAGAAATGAAAACTTTCTTTCTCAGGATCTGTGAGACCACAGCATAGGATGGGAGGAAGGTTACAAGAATATTTTAGATAAAGATGAATATATATAAGTTTCGTCCTAACAGTTTAAGAAATGAAGCCGGGTGGTGGTGGCGGCGGCGGCGGCGGCGGAGCACGCCTTTAATCCCAGCACTCGGGAGGCAGAGCCAGGCGGATCTTTGTGAGTTCGAGGCCAGCCTGGGCTACCTAGTGAGTTCCAGGAAAGGCGCAAAGCTACACAGAGAAACCCTGTCTCAAAAAACCAAAAATAAATAAATAAATAAATAGATAGATAAATAAATAAATAAAAATAAATAAACAAAAAAATAAGAAATGAAAGATGAGGACAATACCATAAAATTTTAGCATGAAGTCATGTCTAAATATGTTATAGACAATTTCTAAAGGTTGGCACTTAAGGTTAATATGTTTAATTGTTAAAATTTATTAAAATCCCTAAGCTATAGTGATAACTAAACTGACTTTAGAAACTGTTTGTCTAATCAATATAATCATTTAAGTTTCTGCTAACTTTGTTAAGCATTAACCATTTGGGGGAAGTGAGTTATTTTTAACCTTAATCTTAATGTTATTTAGTGTTAATATTATAAAGCTGGTAAAGCTGTCCATCAAGGGTAAGGGAGTGAAGGGGGGAAAAAGGGAATATTTTGGTCCTTGCCCTTTAAGCCAGGGCCCCTCTGTTAAGTTGACCACAGAGGCCTTGGAGTCTCTGTAGAGAAGACTTTGACCAACATTGTTAGGGTCCCAAGAAATTCCTTTCCCCAAAGTCTGGTATTTAGGCAAAAGCAAGCATTCCCTTAGGAATGTAAAAAGATAATTTTTACTTGCTAAAAAGAGTCATTCCCATATCCCTGACAAAAGGGACATGTGGCTTTTCCATTAACTTATGACTGTGGTGTCTATTAGCATATCAAAGTAAGCTGGCCTCTAGGTTCCCTGTGTCCCTACTCACAAGTACCTTTCACAGAGCCATCCTGGGTGGCATACCCCACCCCCCTACCCTAAACCTCTCCAGCCCCTGTACTTCCCTTTCCTTCCTCCAGCTTCTGATCCCTGTATCACTCAGCCATTTTGGCTATGCCCTCTCTTGGTTCTGCTCTTGGCTCCGCTCCTGGACATCTCTTCATCCAGTTGCTCTCTCTTCTTCCCTCTCTTTTCTCTTCCTCTTTTGCTCCACTCCCTCCTCATGGCCCGGTTCAGTCTGGCCTATTCCAGATGCCTCTGTTTATCTTCACATTCTAAATCCTTCTAACTAATGTTTCCTGCTACTCTCTGTCAAGAAAACTCTGGGGAACTGTGGGGTTGGTGGGTTGCCACCCCACACATTTTATTGACTCATTTGTTGATGGACATTAAGGCTGATTCCATGTTCTGTGAATTAACGGTGACTATAGCCCACAAGGAATTATTTCCTTTGAGTATGTCCAGGATGGCTTTAGGTTTTTTGTATTACTTCCCATTACCTTTACATAATGCTGTCCTAATACTCATATCCATGGACAGGGCACTTGCATGCTACATTGGCCAACACGCTCATCAGCCCTAGTGATGTTTATGATTATAGCCATTGTCACCATACTATCTCATTGTTCATTTTATCCCATATTTCTAATCATTATATGTGTAGAACCTTATTTATCTGGTAGTCATTTGTATTTGCTTTTGGCAAAATGTCTAGAAAGTATTTAATTGATTTTTAATTGGGTCATTGAAAATGTAATATCATGTTTTTAGTTGTATAACTATATACTTGCCTAGATACAATTGTGTCTTTGTGTATGGATAGCCAGATTATGGTTATTTTTCCTTTGGGAATAGTATTAAAATATTGTATAGAACAAATAGTATGTAAGAGGGTGGGAAGATGAGGAAGATCCCCCAGGTCAAACTCAAATGAATCTTAGTAAGCCACCAACAGTTTCATAGTACATTGTTATGCATTACTGTTGACATTGGTGGGAAGCACTCAAAACTGTTATATAGTGTGCTTTTAGAAGTTAGAGTAATGATCTGCCATAAAGGCTGAGAAAATACATGGATCTTAAACTGTACTCTTCATTAATGGATAGACTATCATCACCCCTAAGAAGCACTACTCCATTGTGCACTGAAATCCACATTTTAGCTGCAGGAAGGAAAATAATCTACAACAGAGAGATGAGTATTTTCCTTTGTGTCTACACTTTACTTAGGAATCTGCCCTAAGTGTTACTATGAATTCCTATGAGTGTCAGTGGAGTGTCTTCAAGGATTGAACTAGATGATCTCTTACATTTTTATCATTAATTCATGGATGAATTAGGCAGTACCCCTACTAGGTACACCCCTGCGCATCCATACACAGAAAGGAAAAGATATATCGTTGATATATCTTCATGTTTATTTCAAGTGTGGAGTCATACAGATCTCTACATGGACATAGGATACCATAAAAGTGGCTGTGACTCTTTGCTGTCTCAGTGAATACCTCAAGAATTACTCCTCTTTCCTAATCCTGGCATCATCCAGGATTAGGTTAAAAAATATGAAGCCCCTTACCCACAAGATCATTTCCCCACAGTCTTTGCATTCTTCTTAGAGATTCTACCTACCTTAGTAAAACATAAACACTTGACTCTCCTGCTGTAGTTAGTGAGCTCAGAGCTCTTGTGCTCACAGGTTGTGTGAGGGTGCAGAGAACAGGCCCCTAGTTATGTCTTTGTGATTCTGTGATGTCACCTTCTCTCAGGGCTGTAACTGCCTGAGGTGGTAGTTTGGTCACCTTAGAAAACCTGAGAAACATTCCTCATTATCACCAAAAGCCTCTGAGTCATCTCTCCAGCCCCATAAATATATATTTCTTAAATATTAAAAATTAGTTTAACCAAGCATGGCGGCACACACTTTTAATACTTTAATCCCAGCACTCAGGAGTCAGAGGCAGGTGGATCTCTGTTCGAAGCCAGCCTGGTCTACTTAGTGAGTTCCAGGACACTAGGACAGCCAGATGTACACAGTGAGACCCTGACTCAAAAAGAAAGAAAAGAAAAAAAAAAAAAGAATTTAGTAATTGGTATCAGTCCTGTAACATATCCTTTTAATTTATACTGATGGCATTTCTCCCAAATGTAAATTCTAATAATTGATGTTAACTCCTATTCTCTGTTCAAGGATGTGCAGTGCTGTGTTTGTCAGCACCTGCTTCTTGGTAATCTTTAAGGACACCACCAACAGCCCCAGGGTGGTCACAGGTGAGTATAAAGGCTACCAAGTGTACTAGCACCTTTGTCTTCCTGTGCTTGATGGTTCATGTTCTGAACCGTCCCAGTGTATGAAACAGGCAAAGGCAGTAACAATAATATCACAAAGTCAACAGACTTAGGACCCTGTTCTGTGGAGCAGCAAAGTGCCTCACCATGCAATAATGCCATCAGCCCCTGATGTCTTGATTGGGAGTCATGCTCTGGGCCACGGTTTTCCTGTCTCTCCTAGTACCAGCAGCAGGTTCCACACATGTGTGAGAACCATGATTCCACCATTCACCTGGAATCTAAGGTGCAGAAACTATCCTACTTCTGTGTTAACACCTTTGGGACAGGTAATACTTTTTTTTCATCATTCATGCCTGTGACTCTGTTACATTATCTATGAGGGTTTTGCCAACATGTTTGTATGTACGCAATGTTCTTCCCTGGTGGCCCCAGGAGTCAAAGGTGTCAGATCCCTTGGAACTTCAAATTTGGAGTTACAGGTTGTAAGCTACCAAGTGAGTGTTGGGACTCAAACTCCAGTCCTCTGGAAAAACAGTGCTTTTAACCAATGAGTCATCTCTCCACACTGTGAAACCTCATTCTCATGATGGAGGGCATCTGCATTGTCCAGAAGAGGTTCTCCAGCTGTCAGAGTCCTTTCTTCTCTTCAGCTGACTCCTGAGTATCCTGCTCGCTTTGACTGCAGATGGGAAAAACACTCCACAACTCTTTTAACTACATGGACTTTCATAAAGAACATGTGAGTACTTACTCATCTTAGAACCTATAAAGAATCATGACACTAAAGAGAAATATTAACACACACACACACACTATTGTTAAGGGTTAAGAATAAGTCTAATTATTATGGTAAATCTATTAATATCACAAATTTCACATTACTAATGTTAAGAGGTCAGGCTAGGGTATAAGGAGATAATCCATGTTTTCATTATGAAGTATAAATACCATGACTTTTACCTTAAAATTTTGGGAGGAATATTGACTCAGAAACACTTCTCTGTCTGGCCATGTTCTTCTATACCTTTGCCATTTTCATTCACAGGGTTGAGACCACAAGATCCAAGCAATTAATGGGATGGGCAAAAGACAGAAGTCCCCATCACTGGAGGATTGCTCTTACCTATTTGACCATGATCTAGCTATACTAAATAAAACCTAAGTTAGATGTACTGTGTGTTCAGCCCATGGGTGTTTCTAAGACAGTAAATCCCAGGCACGGCTGATCTGTTTTCCTCATCTCCCACATGGCACTGTTACCGCACACCTGATCAAGGGCACCTGTGACCACATGGCAAGTTTGATGCAGCTCAAATCCCAGCATGGCTAGGGAGAGGGGCTCTTTACACCACTAGCTGGAGACAAACCACACAAATAGCAAGAGCATGAGAAATGTTAAAGTCATAACCTGTGGGTGTGACACATGTACATGTACAGCTAAGAAATCCCAAAGAGTATGCAGGAAAACCATTTTTCAGTACTCAAAGTTGGAGAAGTATTTACCCCAACTGAAAAGCACAGTGACTCATATAGAAAAATTAAGACACAATAGACTTTGGCCAAACAAGTGTGTTGCAAAGAAGAAAACCTAATGAGTAAGTGGATTTGTCCTGAATTTAGTTTTCTTTGGAGATATGGCCCCCAAAAGGCTATTCATGGTCTAGCAGATTGATTTTACACCCATGTACATACACTTGGCACTAAGTGAACTCAAGCACTTAAAAAAAAAAAAAAAAGAGCACATGAAGATATGAAGAAATAGTATGGCGGTGGGGGAAAGTTGGGGAGAAGTATATCCAAATGCATGATACACATACATGAAATTCTACATCAATAAACTCAACTCTAATATACTAAGATATTTATTTAAATATAAAGGAAAAGCCTAATCTCTGTGTTCAAGTGTGGTTGACCAGAGTTAGATACAAAGAAAAAATAGTGCCTGGAGGTTTGTAAGTAAAACTTCAATAACTGTGAATTAGGATTCTAATTTCACTGTCAAGTAATTTCTGTTAAATTCATCATAACACCTCCAACATGAAATACGAACTTTGACAAGGTTATGTGAAATCATATAAGGCTTATGTGCTATGGAAAGATTTGGATTGTGGGCTCTCCAGTGCTTTATCAAGCCTTGCAAATTATCCTGTATTCCTCATTCATTAAACTAGGGTGTGAGAGGTTCAGGCTGGAGGCTAGATCACATTTACTCACTGAATTTCAATGTAAAGCCATTAAACACAGATGTTTTATTTATTTAAAAAATCACCTTACACAGAGTTGCAAAATATTACAAAATTACATGTGCTTTTACAAAAAAATCGTAGATTACAATAGGAGGAATGTTACTTTACTAAGTATGGAAACTTACAGTTATTATTCACCATTTCCAAAGATGGCAAACGTGTGAGTTTCATGGCGTACACTGTTCAACACAACTATACATTCTCTAAGATTCGATTTTATTTTCCTCTGATACCTCTATTTTTCCACATACATTTCATTGAGGACATCCAGATAGAAATCACTAATTCCATGGATTTGCCAATTTTTTTCAGGGATCTGTAAAATGTTTTTGAGATGCCCCTGCCTCTGCCTGCTGAATGCCAGGATAGCCCTTTCCTCTTCCTACTGCCCAGCATACTTACCTCATATGTAAGTGTATTCCTCCTTCTCCTGCAAATAAAGCTCATCTCCATTTGTTTTATAGTGGTGAAGTTTGCTTAGGCTATTAATTCTTCATGGAGCTAAAACACACAGTAGATTTCTGGGCGCAGATGGCAGCAAGCTCCAATGGCTGCACCTATGACCTCAGAATCCTGCCCACACACAAAAAGAACTGAACTTTGGGTAAACACCATGTGTTACAAATAAAGGGGAAGAATAATGCCTGAAATCAAAGGGATTGCAAGACAGGATTCTGGTCGGGTGGCGAAGGCTGTTTTAAATAGTGAACCAGTAACAAATAATCAGGGGAATGTGGTAAAAAAGGAGTAGTCTTCCCAGGCACACAATGACAGAATTCTCCTTGGGCTGGAAGACTGTCATGAACCAGGGTAGTTACCAAAAGGTCACCAAGCAGAGGGGCCTTGGTCTCTGCGGCATCTGCACGAAGAAGAGCTTTGACCCAAGGATCCTCTGAATTTGCCCTCAGGAGTTGGTCCATTTGATCTGTGTTAGAGATGGTTAGTGACCAGTTCCTAACTATCTAACTTCCCTGACGCCTGTCTTGGGTTCATCAGCACTGATGCAGCAACAGCTGATACACATTATCATAAAATCATCTGTAAGCAAGAGAGCATGGATGTACCCAAGTTTAAACAAATCACTATGTTTACATTTCAGCAAATCCCAATAGTAGTATTACCAAAATGTCAGTAAGAATAATATTATATTTACTCAAATAGAACTATCTTGCTCCACTCAAATACAGGACAAATTCACTTACTCACTTGGTTTTCTTCTTTGTAACACGCTTGTTTGTCTAATGTCGAGTATGTCTTAGTGTTTCTATGTGAATCACTGTGCTTTTCAGTTGGAGTAAATACTTCTCCAACTTTCTTGAGGACTGAAAAATGGTGTTCCTGCATACTTTTTGGGATTTCCTAACTGTGCATATGCATGTACATGTGTCACATTCACAGGTTATGTCTTTAATGTTTCTCACGCTCTTGTTAGGAGTTTTCTGGGTTTTCCCTTCAGGATGAGTTTTCAGATGTAGCTATAATCTTAACACCAGGTAAAAACTTTGAAAGATTCAGTGCAGTTCTTGGGCTCTCTAGCATGGAATTACAAGATATGAAATTCCTAATGTACAAGACATGAGGATTTCACAAAAGTAGTTTCTTTCTGGTATTAATCTTCTGATTACAATTTATCCTCATGAATTTTCTGAGGTTGAACAAGTAAAATGTTCTTACGAATGATTTTTTAAATATTGCTACAGCTGAAGAATTTTTCTTCAGTTTAAACTCTTGGGATTTCTATGATTTAATCATTCATGAAAAACTCTCACAAGTTTCTTATGTTCGTGTTTTTCTCCAGTATGGATCCTGTTGTGCTTTGTAAGAAGAGATCGCTGGGTAAAGGACTTGTCACATTCTCCACATTTGTACGGTTTCTCTCCAGTGTGGATTCTGGAATGGGTTTTAAGGTTTGACAGCCAATAAAAGGACTTTCCACATACTTCACATTTGTAGGGTTTCACCCCAGCATGAATTTTCTGATGAGCCTTAAGACTCGAACAGTGGGTGAAGGACTTGTCACATTCTCCACATTTGTAAGGTTTCTCTCCGGTGTGGATTCTAGAATGTCTTTTAAGGTTCGACAACCAATGAAAGAACTTACCACATTCGTTGCACTTGTATGGTTTCTCCCCAGTGTGGACTCTATAATGTTCCTTAAATCTTGACAACAGATAAAAGGCTTTACCACAGTCTTTGCATGAGTAAGGTTTCTCCCCAGTGTGAATTTTCTGATGTGTACTAAGAGCTGTGCAGTGGGTAAAGGACTTGCCACATTCCTTACATTTGTAAGGTTTCTCTCCAGTATGGATCCTGTAATGGTTTTTAAGTTTTGACAACTGAGAAAAACACTTACCACATTCCTCACATTTGTAGGGTTTCTCTCCTGTATGGGTTCTACAATGGCTTTTAAGGTGTGAGAACACATAAAAACACTTGCTGCACTCTTCACATCTGTAGGGTTTTTCATCAGCATGAATTTTCTGATGTCTTTTAAGAGCTGTGCAGCGGGTAAAGCATTTGTCACATTCTACACATTTGCAAGATTTCTCGCCAGTATGGGTTCTGTAATGGCTTTTAAGTCTTGACAACTGAGAAAATGATTTGTCACATTCCCCACATTTGTAAGGCGTCTCTCCAGTGTGAATCCTGTAGTGGCTTTTAAGGCCTGACAACCAATGAAAGAACTTACCACATTCTTTGCACTTGTAAGGCTTCTCTCTAGTGTGGACTCTGTAATGTTCCTTAAGTGTTGATAACAGATAAAAGGCTTTACCACAGTCTTTGCATTTGTGGGGCTTCTCCCCAGTATGAATTTTCTGATGTGTACTAAGACCCGTGCAGTGGGTAAAGGCTTTGCCACATTCCTTACATTTGTAAGGTTTCTCTCCAGTATGGATCCTGTAATGGCTTTTAAGTCTCGATAAGCGAGAAAAGCACTTACCACATTCCTCACATTTATAAGGTTTCTCTCCAGTGTGGATTCTGTAATGGCTTTTAAGTCTAGATAACCGAGAAAAGCCCTTATCACATTCATTACATTTGTAAGGTTTCTCTCCAGTGTGGATTCTGCAATGGGTTTTAAGGTGAGACAACCACTTAAAGGACTTACCGCATTCTTTACATTTCCATGGTTTCTCTCCAGTATGAAGTCTCTGACGTGTACTGAGGTTTGAGTAGCTCCTGAAGCATTTCCCCCAGTTGTGTGCTTTCTCTCCACAATGAATTCTTTGCTGAACAAGTCTGTGTGCGGAGCCCAAAAGTTTATCACTCTCTGTATGCTTGTGCTCTATTTTCAAAGCGTGGATACTCTGATTTAGACTAATATTAGAACATAAGCGTAAACATTTGCCACACTCTTTGTATTTGAAAAGGTCTTCTCCAGTGTGCACACTTTTATGTCTGTTTAGGTTGGATGAGTCAGTAGAGGAGTGCCCGTGGTTACCGCATGTGCAGTTGATGCAGTTTTCTACAGTATCACTTGTGTTATAAGGGGTACACTGGGAGGATTCATGAATCACTTTGCCAAGCTGATTGTATTTGTAAGACTTCTCTTGGATATTCACAAGCTGATGGACAATGTAGTTAGAGTCTTGATCCAAGACCTTGTTGAATTTACCACACATGCAATGGTTCTCTGGGAAATGAGCACAATTAGGGATAATGAGGATTGACTCATGAGTTAACAGATTCACTAGCTGATGTCACTTTAGGTTCTCTAAGACAAGTAATAATTATTTAGAATAGGGCTCTTAGTGGAGGGTTTTTACTTTCACTATCATTATATGAGTGTTCAGAAGCTTCAATTTGCATCTCCATCACACTGTGGGGACTGATAACAGAACTCTCATTCCTCTCTAAACTGCATTACCTGCAGAACATGGGACAGATGATGAAAAAATAAACAACTTTGGGAAAAGAGCTCTCTGAAGGATTATGTTTAAAATATTTTTCTCTTTTTAAATTTCTCCCACCCACCCCCAAGAAACAGCTGAAGTATAGTTTAATGCAATACTAAAATGAAAATATTCAACTTACTAAGTGTATTGCAATGTATATTTCTGCTGCACACATTTAATTTTAACTTTAAATATTTCATTAAAAACTCGGTAAGAGGCTTGGAGAGATGGGTCAATAATTAAAAGCATTTGTTGTTTTTTTCAGATGACTTAGGAAAATTCCATAATTTTTTTAAACCAGAATTTCCCTAATTTCCTATAGCTTCTAGACAGCTGCAGAGAATTTATACACCTATAAACCAAGTAATACAAAAGCAGGAATTTTGCTAGAAAACTGTTCTTACCCACAGAGACCAGGTTGCTGTAATTCTCCAACATCACATCAATGTACAAAGCCCTCTGAGCAGAGTCCAGGCATTCCCACTCCTCCTGGGAGAAGTCCAAAGCCACGTCCCCAAATGTTAGCAGACCCTATAATGGAAATTTAAGAGTTTTATCATGTGCTACTGGGCAGAATGCTTTCCTAGATAAAGGAGGTATAAGGACCTAGGGATATTTTTGTGATGTAGGTGAGGCAGGAAAATTATTCTTTTTTTTTTTTTTTTAAAGATTTATTTATTTATTATGTATATAGTATTCTGCCTGCATATATACCTGCAGGCCAGCAGAGGGCACTAGATCTCATTATAGATGTTTGTGAGCCACCATGTGGTTGCCGGGAATTGAACTCAGGATCTCTGGAAGAGCAGCCAATGCTCTTAACCTCTGAGCCATCTTTCCAGTGTCTGGAAAATTATTCTTTAAAATGTTTTTTAGAGGGGGTGGAGACATAGCTTAGCAGTCAAAAATAATGCTTGTTCTTCTAGATGTCCTGGGTTTGGTTCCCAGGACCTAGATGGCATCTCATAATCACCTGTAGCTCTAGTTCCACATGATCCACTGCCTTCTTCTGGCCTCTAAGGGCACCAGGCATGTAAGTAGTACACAGACATACATTTAGGCTCAAACATCCATACATATCAAAATAAAATTTAACTGTATGTTCTAACTCCTCCGTGTGCTGTACAGCAGTTTCCTGACAGTTTGAAACATTCTGCCCTGCAGAAAAACTTATTAAAACAGGAAGTAAACAACTCACAAATGCCACTGAAATTGACCACATTTCTTAGGTCCCTCCCTCCCCAAGAGTATATGAACAGTAAGGATCGCTGAAAGCCATCCTCTGACTTTGTAAGCCAAGCTGCAAAGGCGGCTCTCAGATGAGCACAGGCACGGGCCCTCGCAAGAGGCAGAGACCAGCCTCGCAGCCCCTGCTGAGCTGCCTAGCAAAGGCTGACCAAATGAGCCGCCAGGAAAGGAGACCCTCCAACCTGTTACTCTGCTGGCCAGCAATGCAATGTGCTCCAGGTTTCCAGGATTTGTGAGATGTCAGCCATGCTGAGGGATGGGCTTTGGTGATGCAACTGTCTGAATCATTTCTACTCCTGTAAATAACCTCAATAAAATTCACTGGTTCACCAAGTTGGTGGTATCCATGTATCATGGGCTCCTTTTCTGGTGTGTAGACGTGTATGTGTGCATGTCCATCACCCCAGTCTGTCACACAACACTGAAAACAGGATGACATAATGGTCTCACAAACGATAGATATACTTTCAGGGAATATAAAATAAAAATTTAAGATTTAGAAATAGAAATCTACCATTAATGAAATAGGGGTTTCTGTCATATGGGATCACAGTGTCACATCTCAGATGGAAAGGTTGTGATGAGCAAAATTGTGTCTCTAAATGCTACAACTGTTGATCGTGCTATAATATCAACACTAAATTGTAGTGGGTAGCCATTCCAGCTTGGATCTGGAAGTTCCAACCCCCATTGAGACTCTGGCAACTGTCACACCTACAAGGCGGGGCCAGGGGAGGCGCTCGAGACCCGAGAGCTGGATATGCTGGGAAGCTGAATGGTGGAGGTTGACTGAGCAGAGCTCCAGAGAACACCGCTGGACTGCAATACACCTTCCCCAGACCCTGCGACCTACCTATTACTTAATTTGTGAGTTATGCCATTAAATAAATATCCTTTTAACTACGTGGAGTGGCCAAAATAATTTCTCCAATACTAAATCAATCTTGTCTGCAGCTGGGCCTCATCTGACTCTATTTTAACACCCTTAGCTGGGATGCTATGGTTCCGGTTCAGTGCTGCACCCTTTGTATAACAAAGAGGAAGAACAAGAAGGCAGAAGTCATGGGTGAATTTGAAATTAGAGTTTTGATTTTTCTACACAGTGAAAAGTAACAACAGTCAATACTACCAATATTCCAAATGTTAACACATGAAGTCGTACAGTCTGTGAGAATATTTTTGCCTGAATATATTTGCAATCATGAAGTAAATAGAAAAAAAAAACAGCATTAGCCAGTTGATATCATATATATATTCTTTTTCTAAATGTAGGTACAACCCAATACAGACAAATAATAATTTCAGAAGTTTAAAGGTTTTCTGTGAAATGGAAGGAATGAATTAAATCAAGCGAAAATATACTAACTCTTCATTGCTTTTCAATTATGTTATTGCTCGTAAATGGAGTTCAAAAGAAACTTCAAATTTTGGTTTATGTAATGTATTTGAGCTGTACTGTAAGTTTTACAGCCGAGTACTACTTATGTTCTTTCTTCATTTTTCAGAAAATACAAGATGCAATCTTATATATTGGTTCTGACATGAATGTAAAATAGAAATTTAAACCTGGGGACTGGAGAGATGGCTTAATGGTTAAGAACACTTGCTATTCTTGCAGAGGAAACTGGTTCAGTTCTCAGCACACACATGGCTGCTCGCTACAGCCTGACTCTAGTTTCTAGCGATCTGGAGATCTCTTCTTGCCTCTGTGGGTATTCCAGGTACATATATATGCAGGCAATCACTCGTACATAAACCAAAATAAAAACTTAAATAAGCAAAACATTTTCCAAGGAAAAAAAAAAGTAAAACAGGGCTGGACAGTGGTGGTGGCAGGTAGATTTCTGTGAGTTCGAGGCCAGCCTAGTCTACAGAGTGAATTCCAGGACAGCCAGGGCTACATAGTGAAAACATAGCCTGAACCTCCCTCCAAGAAAAAGAAGTAAATGTGCCCATTACAGCCTTTTTTCATAATCTCTACCTATGAAAAACAGTAGCTCAGCAAAAGGGAAGAAGGTGATGGGAGAGCCTTCCTCCTCCAAAGGGGAAGATCAGAGCAAAATAATTATGAGTAATCTTCATTTCTGCACA